GTGCATAGGTGCATCTGCTCCAAGCATGCTTTGTGCATGTTTAGACACCATTTGCAGCCATATTGTCTGTCTGTGTGCTGAGCTGTAAAAGTTTATAGTGTTTAAGAAAACTGAGTCACCTGTTGACTGAGATACAATCTGTTATTCGATTCTTGAGTGCAAGAAACTTGGCAGCAGTGGAAATTCACCATCGGATTTGTGAAGTTTACGGTGATAATGCTATGAGTGACAGTAAAGTTCGAAAGTGGGTAAGAATGTTCAAGGACATGCAGGTTAATGTGCATGATGAGCCATGCCCTGGCCGACCTTCTCTGATTTCTGAAGATTTGGTTTGTGCTGTGGATAACAAAATTCGAGAGGATTGATTCACGATTTCAATGTTACCAATTGAATTTCCACAGGTTACAAGGTCAGTTTTGTATACCATTGTTTCGGAGAAACTGAATTATCAAAAATTGTGTTCTTGGAGGGTTCCAAAACTGCTTTCTGATGATTACAAAACAAAAAGATTGGGCAGTGCTTTATCGTTTTTGACTCAATACAATCAGGAAGGACATGAATTGTTGAACCACATCGTTACAGGAGATGAGACCACATGACTCTTGAGTCCAAGCAACAGTCAATGGAACGGGACACACATCTTCGCCAACCAAAGTGAACACCAAACAGTCCATTTTAGCTTGGAAAATTATGGCAACTGTCTTTTGGGACAGGAAAAGGATTTTGTTAGTGGATTTTATGCCAAGAGGTACAACAATCAATTCTGATGCAATTGTGTGATCTTGAGAAAATTCCAGCATGCTGTACAAAACAAACGGCATGGTTTACTGTCTTCCGGTGTGATGTTGCTTTATGACAATGCAAGGCCACATGTTTCTACACAAACACAAGGTCTAATCAGTTCTTTTGGATGGGAACAACTGGATCAGTTACAGTCCAGACCTTGCACCCAGTGTTTTCACTTGTTTCAATACTTGAACCGTTAACCACCAAAAACTCCTTTAACGACAACAAAGAAGTGAAAACTGCAGTCACGGATTCGGCTTTTTCACAGGTGGCAGACTTCTTTGAAGTCAGAATTCAGAAAATTGTTGAGCAATATGACAAATGTTTGAACAAAAATGGAAATTATGTATTAAAGTAGATAAAAGTATGTAGAATATGGGAAAAAATAATTTTAATTAAATTTACAGTATTTTTCTCCTTATTTAAAAACTAGCCTTCGTATCAAATGATGATGTATTGTAAAAAATTCACTCTGCCAGAAAATATTAATAAAAAATAGACATTAATAATTATTTGACTATTTTAACAATAGTTAGGTTGTGTATTTTTTTTTCTATAAAGGAGTTATTTTTAAGTTTATTTATGCATTTATGTATTTATATATTTTTCTACTAAATTATTTATTAATGAATTAGTTATTATTATATATATATATATGTATGTAGGCGGCCCACCTCATCTTAGCTCCCACAACACAGAAGTGTCCCACATTTCAACCTAACATATCTGGTCACTTTTAATATAAACACAAAATCAAATGAAAAAACACAGTGTAGTAGTAGTTGCCAATGGAGTTGGCCTTCCTGCTGTCTGGTTCACTGAACCATACATAAACCACTATTTCAATCACAAGCAAATTATTTATATTGACAGGATGTTCTAAAAACTTGCATGCATTTGTTAGATACAAAATTTCCATAAATGTCATAACTTTTATAATAAATCTTATTTAAATATAATATTCTCTGAAAACAGAAATACAGTAGGTCTTCTTTTATACAAATATTTTGATTAACATACACTTCAGTGGCATCAATAGGCATTGCATGTCCAGAAGAAAAAGCAGATTTGGAATAATGTGATTATTTTTTGTTTCATATGAAATAAATATATATGTAAGGAACTAAGTCTGAGCGCTATTTTTAGTTACTTTTTATTTTATTTTATTTTTGTTTGGGGCTTATGCTTTGTTAGGACGAAGGTTTCCTCACCATTCACTTAGAAACTTAAAAACAGAATAAAGAGGAAAAAAAACCAACTCACCAATGAGAAGAAACACCATAAAAAACTCATGCACACTTGCGCTCTCGAGCGGAAAAAAGTAAGTCCACACCGAGAAGAGGGGGGGAACCCCACAAGCACAACTCAAGAACTTGCTAAACCTTAAAGAATAAAACATCCTGAAAATTGTCAAAAAGAATAATGTAAAAAATTAGCGAGTATTGTCAGAAAATAGGCTCCCAGGCAAAAAGGAAAAGTTCAATGTTAGAGATAAGTATGTAAATGAGGGGAGTGGTCTCAATTAGAATTGTGACTTCACCTCATTGTATAAAGCCTGTACCTCAAGCAAAGATGATCGAGGTGAGCTTCTGTTAGCAACGAGTGTGGCGAGCTTTGTAGCAGCGAACAGCAGCAGTGTCCGATAGCGATAAAGGTGTTCCAAGGTGATTAGAAGTTATTCAATTTGTGGATCGAAGATTAGAAAGTCTTGAGAGTTGAAAAAAAAGGTTCCTAGTATATTCAGGTTAGGACCTTAAGTTCATAAGACTTGTTGTACATAGGTTAAGTCTTTGAATTTTTTGTTGAATTCCAAAGGGGAATAGATTCAAGTTAGCAAATAGATTGATTTGAGTTTTGTAGGGTTGATTCTTATTGTTGATTTTCTTTGAATAAATTGTTGTTTGATTGTTACTAAATTTTGTACATAGTTATTACTAGAATTATTATTAAATATTGGATTGTTTTTTTTGACTAACTTTGTAATTATTTCTTTTGGTGCATGCTTAAAGTCCAGACCTGGCACATTAACGCGAATCCGCGTAAAGTACCCATTAGGTAACGGCTATTTCCGACACACAGTTTGTGTCGATAATCGTTGTAAAAAGGCATACAAATAACTTAATACTTTACATATACACACACAAAATAGAGTGAAAAAAAAAAAACACAGTGGTTGCCGATGGAGTTGGCCTTCCCTGCTGTCTGGTTCACTGAACCATACAGAAACCACTTATTTCAAATCACAAGCACCATACCATACACATAGCAAACTTGTAGGCAAGCATTCATATCCCAGAGATGATTTAGTAACTTTCCTTTACCATCTCTTAGGAGGTACCCTCACCATGCACAAAAATCCAAATCAAGGGGGCAGATATCAAAAAATTTACTCCGGTGGAGGGCACTAACCCATGCATATTAAATAAGAAAAAATACAAAAAGGTAGAGAAATTATTAGCAAATAATATTAGACAAAATTTAAATACAACTGATAGTGCTAGGGAAAATTTTCCTATTTATAATGTAATACATAAACATGCTAGGACTAACATAAGCTTAAACAATATGTATAATTATGTTGACACATGAAAAAATGTGGATGGCCTGAGTGTAAAATGCTCACCTGGAGAATCCTATTGAATATTGTAATGACCAAGAAATATTTACATATCTATCACAGAAAGAAATGACCAGTGCTCCTGGTGCAGAAATCAAGAGACTATAGCACATGTGTTTCATGAATGTTTTCTTGTTAATTCCATCTGGTTTTGAGTTGAAAAACTATGGCATGTAAAAATAAACTGGGTTAATATAAAATATCACATTCATTATAATGAGAATCAAAATTACTACAGTCGACCCCCCTATAACATGGTAGATACGTTCCGTTCTTTATGAATCGATTTCTTACGAGTCCTTGCCAATCACAGCCCGACACGTGTGAAGTTTACGGAGTACAGCTGTTTGAAAGGTTTTCTTCCATAAAATTAATCGATTCTATACTAATTTGACTCAACATTTCCAAAATATGTATATTTTTTTTGGGAATAATCTGTATAAACTACGCTATAAACAAAAAATTGTAGGATTACTTACCGAGTGTGCACCATTTGACGTCGCCATTGCTCAAGCTTGTTTTCGTCACGGAGCAGTGCACCAAATGGTGGCTGTGTTTTCTAATAAGTTATTTTTCTGCGAAAACTTCGTTGAACTTTGGAGACATCATTAATATAAATAATTTTTATGACCATTGATGAAGAAATGTTTCTTTCACAAGAAATGTATAAAATTACAGTGCTTTATTAGACTTACGGTACCTAATTTACATACTGTACAGACGATAGTAAACTGAACTTACTAGCCTAAACTCTCCGTAGCGTGGCATTGGACGGCAGAAAGTATATATATAATTATAATAAAGTTACAATAAATTAAGTTAATATATAATTATATATACAGTACCTAATTTATATATAATACTGTACAGACAATAATAAACTCAATTTACCCGCCTAAATTCTCCGTAACGCTGGACCGTGGAAAGTAGTTCGGCTGCCCGATGACGTTTTACCAAATTATAAGAGTTTTTTTTTTTACCAGGTTTGTACGGATACCGTCACAATTTTTTTGCTGTCTTATAGGAATCGTAATTATAGGAACCCATGTTATAAGGGGGTCTACGGTATATGTTAAAGTGGTTTATAGCATTAGTAAAAAGGTAGAAGGTGAGATGTATGGTCATCTCTAAATGAAAAAATAGAATATAACTTTGATCATATAAGGTCTGATATGGAAAATCTAACAGATCAAGAGATATAGTATTACAGAGGAATTATGAAAATAATATGGAAAGAGAAAAACAGTGAGATTACTTTTAGACATAATTAATTTTAATGAACATATGAGATTTTAATTTCTATTTCTGAGTTTTAGACTTCACTTACATAGAGAATTCTAGATCCGATTACCTGCAAGTAAAGTACTGTTAAAATACGAAATGGCCATTACCCTTACTTTTGATTGATCAAACGAAAGCATTTGACAGTGTTGACCACAATTTTCTTCATTTTAAAATTTTATGGGGTACATCAGAGGTACTTTTGGCCATCCAAATTATGTATTTCCAGGCTCATTGCCATGTTAAAATTAACTACCATCTCTCTAACACTTTTCTCTTTTGAAAAAGTGTTAAACAAAAGTGTTAAACAGGAATACCCTCTCTCAGTTTCTCTTTTCCCTGAGTATCAATACTCTAGTCCAGTTCAAAAACCACTTAGTTCACAAATCACAAACGTTTATATTAATAATTAAAACTTAGTTATGAATTTCACAAAAATAAAACAATTACAATAATTCAGATATAGCAAAGTTCAAATGTCCATTAAACAACAACAACAGGTCCGTCAAAAAGGACTCCTTGCGACGTATTCCTTCAGACATTGGTTACCACACAGCGAGATGAAACAACTTTCTAGGCAAGCTTAGGCGAAGCTAAACAAACTTGAGTTCCCTGGATATGTCTTAAACAAACTGAAACTCCCGCCTAAATTCACTCCTTTTATACGAATTGAAACAAATGTAAAACCACCAATCAGCGCTTAGTAGCGCTATCGAACGTCTGCTGGTCGTACGATGTTTTCTAGCCAATCTGCGGTCGAGTTTCAAAACTACTGACATTGCCTGATCTGCGTCTCCATGACGGCATCCGTTGCTCGTTTGAAAACAGGAAAAGCATGGAAAATTGTACATCCAGACGATTTATCCCGACAACTCTTCTGAGCACAATACACGAGGACTTCTCTATTTCCAGAAGAAACAGAGGAAAGAGTTCAAAGAACAAGGGAAAGCTAAGGAGGTAGAGAAGATGGTAGTGAAAGAGGAGATGGGGCAGAAGGGTGGGAAAAAGATAGATAGTTTAGAAAATAAGAGAAGTAGATGTTAAGCAAAAAGTAAACAAATAGAATTAATGGAAAATATCACTGGGAGCCAAAAAGTAGCAGAAATGAATAAAGTAATAGGATAAATACAAGGAATAGCAGGAATGAAAAAAAGCATATTCAGTAGGGGATATAAAAAAAAAGTACAAAAGTTGAGAAGACAGAGTTTAACTAAAAACAATGGTAAATGAACAAATATCAGAATATAAATATCACTGGATTTAAAGATAAAATGAAACAAATTATAAATTTGGTGCTTACGGATAAAGTTGATGTCCTTGGAATCCAAGATACTGATGTTAAAGACTTGTATGAATTAAGACAATTAAGAAAGCTATTTATACACTAATATATACTCATCTTTTGCATGTTGCAGAAGCAGTGGAGTCTTATTGTTAATTAAATACAGCATAAAAATACAAGATTTTAAAACAGACAGTAGGGGAGGAGTACTTACCATAGATATTGAAGTAGGAAATCAGCCCATAAAAATTTAAGTCTTTATGCATTAACTTGAGTAACTGAATGAAAAGAATTTAAGGTTTTAAATACTTTTTAATGTGAAGGAAAAATATTGTGTTATTAGGGGTTTTTTAACAATATGTTAGTTATTTTAGATAAAAACAGCCTTTACAGCATAATTCACAAAATGTTTTATGGCAGGTTTTAACTGATTTTAACTATACTGATACTTGCTGTTTTTATTATCCATGTTAACCTGGGTATACTTGGGAAAGACACTATCAGGGAGCAGCTGGATTGTGTCTAGGTATCAGAAAATATAGGAAATACAAAAACATCCAGACACACTAAAATATATGACTTACTTCCAACTCCAAACCAAAACAGTGCTTATTTCAATATAACTTCGTTCACTAATGTTTTCGAACTTATAGTTCTTCAGGTGAACCAACGGACAAATCGATAGTATTCGAACAGATCTTTTTCAAACAAATTCTGAAATGGAATATTCTAAGAAAACCCGTGCAATCATTGTCTTATTTTGCACATGCTCTGTTGATAAAGACATTTAGGATACATGAGAAGCCAAAAACTGTCTTTATCAACAGAGTATGCGCAAAATAAGACAATGATTGCACGGGTTTCCTTAGAATATTCCATTTCAGAATTCGTTTGAAAAAGATCTGTTCGAATACTATCGATTTGTCCGTTGGTTCACCTGAAAAACTATAAAGTTCGAAAACATTAGTGAACGAAGTTATATTGAAATAAGCACTGTTTTGGTTTGGAGTTGGAAGTAAGTCGTATAGGAAATATTAAAATATTAAATTATGAGTTAATAGGGAAGAGAGGGTAGATTTTAGATCCTAGAATGGCAGAAGTAGAAATAGAAATTAAAAAATGTAGAGATAAAAAAAGAGTTAAAATAAAAGAAATTTTAGAAGATGGCTTTTTCGTACATAAGATTAAAGCAGTATTAGAAAGAGAAAAAAATATATATATATTGATTGGGCAAAATGGATAAATTCAAAGGATTTAAGGGTGAAAGAGTTGGAATAGGATTAAAAAAAAAATTTTACTAGATTAAAAGTTAGAGAGAATTATGAATAAAAATACAGTAGAGAGTTGTTTATCTGAAAGCCGGTTATCCGAAACACCAGTTAACCAAAAGCATTCCAGTTGGCAAATTTAAGTTTTCGCTAGTGCTGTGGCACTGCAATCTTTGGCTATATCTTGGGTTAATCCAATAATTATTTTTGTTGGTTTGTGTGTTTTAGCTGGCAGCACTGGCACTTTGTGTGGTGTTTTTCTGAGGACTGTGTGTCATGCTGAATCTAACATTTTTGATACTAGATCAACTTCTAAAGTATATTCTTTTTGGTTTTTATATTTTTCAATATATTTATTTTGTTTGTAAAAAATGAAGAAATAATTTTTAACGATACAATAGCAATGATTATTATTTTAAAAAGTTTACGTTAGGCTTAACATCGATGAAAATTCAACAGGAAGCAACACGCAACAGAGAAAAATTTCAACATGGGATAGGTTAATATATTTTTTCGTACATAATCGGTTATCTGAACAACCTCAGTCCCCAATTGATTCGGATAAACGACACTCTACTGTAATACAAAACAAAGAAAGTGAAATTGAAAAGTTAGAGTATTAAGCAAAAAACAAGATCATCATCCAGGAGTTAAACAACGTACAAGTATTGCTATAAACTACTAGCGCTTTCAACGAAACTATTTTCGTCTTCTTCAGGCAGATGAAAACAGTTAACATCCTTTTATCGCATGCGCATCGGCACCACACGCATATTATTCAAGTTCTCTGTATTTAGTTCCATTTTTTGGTTATATTCCAAAGCTGTTTTGCCGTTGGAGTAGTTTGAAATCATTATTCGATAAAAGGATATTAGCTGTTTTCATCTGCCTGAAGAAGACAAAAATAGTTTTGTTGAAAGCACTAGTAGCTTATTTTTAGTTACTAGTAGTTATATTTGTACATTGTTTAACACCTGGATGATAATTTTCTCGTTTCTTGCTTATCTATTGATCAGCTGTGAGGTCCAATATCTTTCACTTTTAGAGAGTATTTCTTTTCTATTTCCTTACTACAGTGAATTATATTACATATAAGATTAGTAAATACAATATAAAAAAAGAGGCAGAAACAGCTAAATGTAAAACAAAAGACAGACTTGAGGTTGACAAACTAATTATTGAAGATTAAAAAAAAACTGACACACACACCTTATGTCTCCGAGAACCAATATTTATTGTTTTACAAAATGTTTTAAACCCAATCTACAGGCCGTCGTCAGGTATTTTGAATTCTCTGGAATGTTTTTAGTATTGGTTTCAGGTTCTAACAATTATGTGAAAAGAAATTCAAATTTTATAACTGTTCAAACATCTCGTTAAAATATGAATACAGTAATACCTCGACTTACGCAATTTTCAAATCTTGTCGATTCCTGTTTCGCTTGAGTGCCACGCAACTCTCGATTACTCACTCCCCCACACTATTGTTTGGCTTACATGTTCCGACACGTGTCGCGCGAAATCGACATATAACTACAATTTATTTTGTGTTATTTATTTCTGTGTTTGTTATATCTACTGAGACTCAAGATACTCTACTATGTCATCCAAACGAAGAAGAACTGATTATTCTGCATCAAACAAGAAAAAACTTTATCTTTGGAATGTAAAGTTAACATTATTAACTTCGATACAAAAATGAAAATTTGTGAATTGGCAAAGAAGTCTGATCTACCGGAATTGATGGTCAGAACAATTATAAAAGGTAAAGATAAAATTCTCGAAGCTGCGAAAAATGCTCAATCTTTAAATTCAAGCTCATTCGTAAACGTCACGGTGTTATCGCTGAGATGGAAACAGTGTTAAAATTATGGTGTGATAATAAAGTAAATCTGAAAAATTGTATAATACAGTGGTACCTCAGGATACGAAATTAATCCGTTCCGAAACTGAGATCGTATCATGAAAATGTCGTAAGGTGAATCAACTTTTCCCATACGATTACATGTAAAACCAAATAATTCGTTCCAACGCGAAAAACACACTCAAATTAAAGCCAAGTAATACATTTAAAAAAATAACTGTAGTAAGGAAAACAAATGAAAAATGCAAACTAATGTAACGTCGTATGGTGAGTTTTTGTTCGTATCGTGAAGCAAAAATATGTTCGAATTTCATGTCGTATCCTGAAAATTTCGTATGCTGGGGCGTTCGTATCCTGAGGTACCACTGTAATATAATTTGTTATACATACAGTGGGTGATCGGTTAACGAACATAATCCATTCCAAGATTTTGTTCGCTATCCGAATTGTTCGTTAACCGATTATCGATTTACCATAGGTTTCTATGGGAATTTGATTAATTGGTTCTGGAGACCTTCCAAAATAAAACATATATACTTTCTTACTACCTTTATTTATATGTATTGATGATGATAAAAATACATACATACATAGTCTTGCCTTTTTATTAGTCGTGTTTTTTTTTCTGTTTGAAAAGGTTAAAGAATCTGTCTAATGTCGATTGCTTTTCTCTTTTCTTCAGGATTTTTCGTAAGTAATTAATAGCATTGCAATTGCAGAAATCCCCAAGCCTTAACCTGGTTTGGATGCCATTCTAAGACCGTTGTTCTGACATCCTCCCACTTCTTCAAAGGATCTTTAATATAAGATATCGGCATTAATCCTCTTTTTCAGAAGAAAACATATCTCGCCGAGTTTCTTGGTGTTCTTCATTCAAGAGTTCTTGGCGTTCTTCTGTCGTCAGATCCATTTCGTGTTCCATTATGAACTGTTCGATATTCTTTATTTCTCAGATGTGATTTTTGTTACTCCTTTAGCTGCTTGAGTCTTCTTGATTATACAGTATGTTTCTTAAATAAGATTGAACTTCAGCCTACTGTAGACCTGTTTACGCCATACTGCCCAGCAACATTAGGCATCTTCTGCCCACTCTCTACCTTTGCTATTATACTCTCACCTTTCGAAAAGAAAAACAGACGCAAAACTTAACGAGTGCCTACCCGACAGTCTCACGAATACATAAAATAATTGTTTTGTCAGAAAAATAAAAGGCTGAAATTACAAGGAAGAGTTTCAAAGTTCGGAGGAATAATATCCGATCGGTATATATCGGCTTGAGCGTCGATGTCGACGTCTCCCACACTCCGAAAAGTTTCGAATTGTTGCCCGAAGACAAGGGAAGACCAAACGGTATTCATTAATTTATGTCGCTTCTTCTTGTGTTTGTTCTGTGGGGTCTTCGTTATCCGATCATGTGTTCGTTGTCCAAACATAAAAATCTTTCGCGAAAGTGTTTGCTATCCGATCTGTTCGTTAATCGATCACCCACTGTATATATTATCTAAGATTTTATTAAACACTTTTTTTCTAAATTATTGTTTTTTTAGTCTCTAGCCCCAATTAAACATTATTTGTATGTATTTATATGCGAAATTATACCCCGACTTATGCGAATTCGACTTACGCGGTTATCGCCCAGTCCCACCCACCACGTAAGTTCGGGGTATTACTATATATCAAAATGTAACAAATAGTATATGTTAAGTCAAACTAATTAGAATACATGAAATAAAGTAAAATAAAATACAAATATATCAACACAAGGTTCCTAATTATATCGACAAAGTGCGCATTGCATATTATATTTTACTGCATTGTTATTGATTATATATTTACATGCCGATAGTAATCCTGTGGCCTATTTGTGGTTCAAACATTTGCAAGTAAGACTAGATCTATATATTTCAATCTTTTCTAGTCATTGCTAAAGACAGTGAGCATACTGGTCTAACAATCGTAGCCTCATTCCTTTCAATAACAGAACCCTCTGTGCTTCTCTGGATAGTGCCGTATTAAAATACCCTTTGTTTACATCGTATATATGCTCTTTAAGCCTTTTGCTGAAATTCCTGGTGGCGACACCTATATATTCTTTGTTTAGGCCTAATTGATCATTTTTATATGGTATCTTGTATACTCCAGATTGTTCTTCCTTTTTAATCTTATCTTTGTCATTTCTAAGCAGACTATAAACCATGCGAGTCCATTTATGTAGTAATTTTGTATTCTTGTAGTCTGCAATTTCCTTCATGATATTGCACATTCCTCTGTTGTACATGAATTTTCTAATTTCTTTGTTCATATTCTTCTTTATGTTCTTTTTGTTAGGATCCGAGTATAAGCCTATTAACTCGTCAATAATTTTTGCTCTAAATCCCAAGGTTATAGCAACAGTTCTGATCCTATTCAATTCTTGCAACCTGTCATACACATTGGAGCAATAATGGAATGCCCTTCTAATAAAAGCTCTAAATGCTAAAAGCTTATACATCTGAGGATCATTGGAATGATCAATAATAATGCAGTAAAATATAATACATAACGTGCACTCTGTCGATATAATTAGATATATTGTGTTGATATATTTGTATTTTATTTTACTTTATGATGTATTCTAGAGATGTATTCTATGAGTTCAACGAGATGTATTCTAGTTAGTTTGATTTAACATATTTATACTATTTGTTACATCATGATATATTTCAACAATACGTTTGAACAGTATAAAAATTTGAATTTCTTTTCACGTAATTGTTAGAACCTGGAACCAATACAAAAAACGTTCCAGAGAATTCAAAATACCTGATGACAGCCTGTAGATTGGATTGAAAACAATAAATATGTAACAATAAATAAATAACAATAAATTTGTAAAACAAATATTGGTTCTCAGAGACATGAGGTGTGTGTGTCATAGTATTTAAACAATCTTAAGTATATATTAAAGAATAAAAAAAATAAATGATCAAAATAAAATAGATAAATTTTCTGAGTTTTATACTTACCTATTATGTTATCCAGTATCAGACAATACATTGTGGTTAGAAGCAATAAAAAAAATATAGTACCTGTATTTCAAAATAATGGAAAATATAATAAACAGGGACCTTAAAAATATAAAATATTGTACATCAACTGTAAAACATTGCAGAGGATTACTAATGTATTATCTATTAGGTTGTTTGGAAAGTAATTTCGTTTTTTTTTTACCACTAGACGGTTAGTCGTATTTTTCCTGCCATTTTTATTCTAAACCGTATCATCATTATATATTTTGACAGCTAGCATTTTAAGGCTTATTTGTAAAAAATTGTTTGATTTCGTGCAATTGTTTATTTTTTAGTCCCATCAAATATGGAAGATTGAAAGCAGCATTTTCAACATATTTTGCTCTTTTATTACCGAAAAGGTAAGAATACTGTTCAAGTGAGAAAAAAAATTGTGTGACATGTATGGGAAAGATGTATTGACTGAACGACAGTGCCAAAACTGGTTTACAAAATTTCATTCTGGAAATTTCAATATTGAAGATGCACCACATTCTGGATGGCAAGTTGAAGCCAATGAAAACAAAATAAAGGTACTGATTGAAGCAAACTGCCGATAAAAACACGTGAAATCACTAAGACATTAAATTTGTCAAATTGAACAGTTTATGATTACTTGAAACAAATTGGTTTCATTTCAAAGCTTGATATATGAGTTCCACATGTTCTTAAGGAGAGATGCTATCTTTGGTGAAATTTTAAGGAAATTTTTTTTTGGAGCTTTTACCAGACAATTTAACAATTGATTCAAAAGTGTACTGCCATCAAGCAAACAAATTGAGTAATACAGTGGAACCCTGGTTAACGAACTTAATCCGTTCCGCGACTCCGTTCGTTATCTGAATTGTTTGTTAACCGAAGCAATTTTTCCGATAGAAATTAATGCAAATGCGATTAATCCGTTCTAGTCTCCGAAATTTTTGTGATTTTATTTGTAATATACAGTACATTTTTTTCGATGAAAATGTAGTATCTATCATTACAGCAACAAACATGTAAACTTTGTTTAATAAAATAGCACTGTACATACCTTCGTTTGTTGTAGTTGGTGGCAGAAAAGTGGAGATATACCAACCTTAATGCTTAAAAGGGGAAACCCCTCCAAAAAAATAACGGGTAGCTCTTCATCAGAAGATTCTTCGAGTCAAAGTCTCTTTCGGTAAGAAAGCCCACCAGTGGCTAAGCGGTCTTCATACCCTAAACATGTGGAGTTCGTTCGTGGATTCGCACTTTGCTCAGACAGGCTGGCCACGTGGCGTTTTCCGGGTTTTCTCCGGTCTGTAACGCCTACATAGGGGCCAGTTTCCCTTAAAAACACCTCATAGAAGGCATTCCGCCTAGGCAGATCGCCCAAGTGTTGCATTGCCATAACTTAACAAACAAACTCTTTCCGTAAGGAACAAGAAATTGATCTGAAGTTGATTGTCTTACTCTTTTAATCAAAATTTTTCTCAAATGCAATAGAGCATTGTCGTTCATATTGCGTTGTTGTTTTTTATTGCCACTATGACTTTTTTCTTTCTTGGATGCCATATTGATTAAATATATAAATCACAAAACTGAAAAAAGTAGTACAGCACAAACACTCCAAAAAGCAATGCTTAAATCGCTCATGCCTAACACCAACTAAAATTTAACACAAAATACCGTTACGTTCGTTATCTGAGACAAAATTTTTGCAAAATAAAAGTTCGTTAACCGATTTGGTCGTTAACCAGGACGTTCGTTAATCGGGGTTCCACTGTATCATTAAACAGAAAAGGTGGCCAGAATTGATCAACAAAACAGGTGTAGTGTTTTACCACAATAATGTCAAATTTCACACAAGTTTCGTAACTTGTCAGAAACTGTTATAACTTAGATGGGACGTGCTATTGCACCAACCATATTCGCCAGATCGAGCACACACTGATTATTACTTGTTCCGGTCTATACANGACGTGCTATCACACCAACCGTATTCGCCAGATCGAGCACACTCAGATTATTACTTGTTCTGGTCTGTACAATTTTTTTTAACTGTAAGACATTTACTTGAAATGACAATGTCAAAAATCACTTGGATCGGTTTTTTGTAAGCAACGATCAAAACTTTTATGAATGTGAAATCGTGCTATTACCAGAAACGATGACAACAAATAATTCAACAAAATATTTATTTATTATAAAAATATTGTGTTTTTTCCACTGAAAAAAAACGAAATTACTTTCCAAACAACCCAATATAATCTTATTTAATATACAGTCGAAATTGCATTTTTTAAATTTTCTGGTAACAATTGTTATTTAGTTTTTGGCAATAAATAGTGGAAAATAAATAACTAGAAGAGTTATAATGTATATTTATTCAACATCTTTTCTAAGTTATTTACAGTTTTCAATATCTATCTACATAACCCATTGAACGCGTGTCCGTCCACATAACTGTATGCCAAAAACAGGCACTAGAGACGCTCTAGCAATAAGTTTAAATTAACAATAAATTATTTTTATTTGTAATAGGAATTTATTATTTATACCACGAAATGGTTTAATTATTATATGCCTTGCCTTATTATATCCCTTGATTAACCTTGCGCTGCACATTTACATCATCCCGTGACTTAGTGAACGTCGCACATTGACTCATGGGAAATTTGTTGAAAAAAATGGCGGATACATTTAAAATCGAGGTTTACAAGTGAAGGTAAATAAACAAATTAAACTATTTTAAAGTATTTATGGAATGTTTAATAGGTAGAAATCTAGATCAGTATGATGCGATTGGGACTTTAACAGAGCTGTAGAGCATATTGATAGAAATAAAAAAGTCAAAGGAACCGTACCTCATGGGAATTTGTAAAGAACACCCACTAGGGGGTGTCCCGGGCTACTAGTTGCTTATAAAATTAATTTTTTCAGGTGGTGACGCAATGGTATCCTTTTTTTAATGAAATTTTATCTAGAAAAAATATAACTTCTGCATGGTATTGATACTAGAGAAATAAAATTTGTTGTTGAAAACTGAACAAGAAACGGGTATATATATGTTACCACTAAAGCTCTAAAGCCGTTAATGTGTACATTACCTAGCTAATCTCCAGATTAACTAGGGTAATCCATTAAAGTTTCGAAAATTGTTCCATTTCTCAAATTACCTAGGTAATGTGCAGATGATCTAGGTAATCTGCACATTACCTAGGTAATTTGAGAAATGGAATGATCTAGGTAATCTGCACATTACCTACTAGGCACTCGGTAAACTGAAAATAAGATCTTTGCTGGAACAACAACTTTTCTGTACACTCAAATTAACATAAATGTTATTTATTTAATTTTCGATATCTAAAGAATCAAGTTAATACAATCAAACAATCAACAAATTAAATTAATATGCCTCAACGTCCTTGGTTTATTATAATATAAATTTTTTCGTCTACTAGTACATATTTTCTATTATCAGAACTTATTAGACTGGCTTTACAGATACTGCAACAAGTCCTGATAATAGAAATACGTACTAGTAGACGAAAAAATTTATATTATAATCAACAAATTAGTTGATAAAATCAATCATCAATCAATTAAAAAACTGTAATACAAAAAATCAAACAGTTTAAATTATTATTACAATTAGGGAAATGAATTTGCAAAACATATGATAAAATTGTGCTTACTTATTAGTGCAATATAAAGATTGATGACACTTTGAATTACAATGCAATTGGTTTTTGCAACAAGCACGCCTATTTGTTGTACACTTAGATTTGCAGTCACATTTTCTGAAACCCCGCCCAGTATCAAGGGACTGTTTTACTGCTGTTTGATGTAAACATTTCTACAGCAGGGACATCTTCTTTCATTAAAAATCAATCTTCGCAAACACTTAATTCAGATTTTGCATACAATTGTTTTAAAATACCCGTTTTAGTTCCAAGTTTATAACAGCCATCGTCTGTTTTACTAAGAACCACAGCTAAAATTGAGCGTGCATCAGTTTTTGCTCTGTCTTGTTCGGGAAGTAGTAGGGAAAGAAAATGAAACTTTTAAACTTTAACAATACAAAAGCCGTTAATGTGCAGATTACCTAGGTAAAATACGGAAATCTCTTGATTCCGCACGTTAATGGATCACCCTAGTTAATCTGGAGATTAGCTAGGTAACGTACACATTAACAGCTTTCGAGCTTTAGTGGTAACATATATAAAAATATTGAAACTTATAAAAAATGACAAATATAATCCTTGAATGGAGAATAAATGCCATTTTTATATCAAATTATGCTTTTTTTTTCTAGTGACGTGGCCTGAACCAATGAAAAAATTACTAATAGCTATCAGTCTTTCATTAGAACATGAATTCAATAAAGCCCAAAGAAAAAACCAAATTGGCTCAACCAGACGTTCATTGGGGATTAGGATTAAAGAACATAAGGCTGACATACAACACAACAGAACTACAATGGCTGTCTCAACATATGCGACCGATCAGGACATCACGGCGGACTTTGACATGGTGCATATTATCCTCACTACCACCCACCCCAAACATCTCAAATGATTGGAGGCTATGGAGATATTTAGAGCAGGATGCAACACAACAAGCATCAATTTTAAGGAAGAGATAGCCCTTTCAACAGCATGGCAGATCCTGCTAGATCAGTGTTTCTCAACCTCTAACGAGTCGTCGACCACTTCAACGTAGTATCGCCCCATCAATAAAACCGTTATGTAGTATCGTCCCCTTCACTACAAAATTACGATGCTGAGGGCCAAAGCTAACACCAAATTCGTACTGCATCGAATAGACTAGTGACTAGTATAATGTTTTTTGTTTAATTATTGTACGATATAACGAATAAAATATCTAATTATTCTTAATATAATTATTCTTAATATAATGTTTAACTATATCGCCCAGAAAAATGTTTTTCGCCCCCCAAAATATAAATTGTTACTAATTGCCCCCTCAATATGGAAAAATGCCTACATGGGGGCGATATTGACCCCGTTGAGAAACACTGTGCTAGATGATAACATAAA